TTATTTATTTATTTTGAGAGAGACAGAGATAGCACAAGTGGGAGTGGGACAAAGAGAGAGGGAGAGAGAGAGAATCCCAAGCAGGGTCCGTGCTGTCAGCTTAGAGCTCGATGTGGGGCTCAAACTCATGAAATGTGAGATCGTGACCTGAGCTGAAACCAAGAGTCGGACACTCAACTGACTGAGCCACCCAGGTGTCCCTTTATGAGGTCATTTTAAACAGCGGTGCTTTTCATACGTTTGGCTATTTCAGTCACTGTGATGGTTGATAGAGAATTTTTCAACTGCCTAAAAGAAAACACTTCAGAGTACTATCTCAACTTGTTATTGTTTATTTCAGTTTTCCGGGTTAGTGCAACGGTAGCTGCCCTTAGGGAAATTAATTCCTGTGAAAACCAATGAGGAAATATAGCACCTCTGCAAAATTCTCAGGCCACCCAGACCAATTCTCAGCCGCCAGTATTTGCAAATGATACTTCAGATTACCTAAGTCTCTAAGCTCCTTTATGCAGGACACATTATTGCAGGTCATGACAGAGAGAACGTAGCAAGCCCAAAATTTAACAAGGAGGTGTTTGTTGATTTCAGTTTTGATGACAGAATCGACTCTGTAGTCAAAAATCCTCACGAGGATAGGGATAAACTTGAAATTCTTGGCTTTCCTCTGGCTGGTAGGATTTAAGTAACACCAGCAGGCTATACTCTGGAGCAGCAGAATCTTTACTTTCGGCGCCAGCTGGTGATTTTGTAACAAACTGGCCACTTCTTTTATGTGCTCAGTGGCGTATTTCCCAGCGGTGGGTCCTCCTGGAAAATAAGTATTTGCATTTCAGAAGTATTTGGTGTATCTAGGAGCTGGTGACATTTGAGTGCTGATGTGTCCATATTCCTTTTGCTGTATACTGACACTTTGGATGCTCTGAATTTTCCTTTTCCTTCCCCCCCACCCCCTCCTGGTGTGCTGCTGTGAACAGGAAAAAGTATGTTGATAAGCACAAAACACGAAAGGGACTGGAAGTTCCCCGCCTGTCAAAGTCTCCTCCCTGGCTCCTTTATTCAAGCACCTACTTGAGTAGGTGTCAGGAGTCAGTACTTCAAGATGAACAGAGCAAACAAAACGGAAAACCAAAACACTGCCCTGCAAAGCCAGGGTGTAACTCGTAAGAGAGGTTTTTCATGAGCCGTCCCTTGCTGTCCTGTCCTCTCTGATGTCTCATTTCTCAGCCCGACTCTTGCAGATCTGGAACCAACGTGACCTTATGAGATTGCTCTTGCTTGGGAACCCAACCTGGTTCCCAGACTGACCCCACCTGAACCCAGGCTCTACTTTCCTCGTATACTGGAACCCTAGATTGCCCGAGTTCGAATCTCAAACCCTAAGAAGGTACTGGCCAAGAAAACACTGGACGAAGACTACTCAGGTGGTGAGGAGTAGCTGGCATACTTGGCCAGATTCTAGCCACTGGGGTTTTGACCTGGCTTGGATTTCTCTTAGTGGCACTACCACAGTCCCGTGGACCCAAGGATGTTCTAGCCAATGTTAAAGCTTTAGCTGAAGCCTGGGCATAGGCTCTTTCCCTGCCTTCTAGAAGTATAACTAAGACTGAGGTTACATACCATCAAGTTAAAGAATTCTGACTCTTTTATAACCAGCCAGCTCTTTCCCCAAATGGTGAACAGAGCTCTACAGGGAACTTTCTCAAGTGGTGGGCGCCATTTATCCTTCCTTCACACGGGAACCCTCCAGCTTCTTTCTAGCTCTGTGCCGCTGGTTCTCACCCACCCTGGCACCTGGGACCCCTTGGTTCTTGAAAACGGTAAATGTTTCCTCTCACGGACACCATTCTTTGAAAAATTGAGTCTATCAAATTACATCTAGGCAACCCATTAAAAAAGAGATCAGTCATCTATGATACTTATAGCTACCAGAGCTTCTAATCAAGAGACGTGTTGTTGAAGATTATGTATAAAATTTCACTGCATATCCTGAAATTTATTGGAACAAAAAAAGTGGAGTGAGTTTAAACCTGATAATCATTAGAGTGGTGTGTGTTTGAGCAGTTTACCACGTAATTTTCTGGCCAAATATACATTCACGGTTGCTTTTCACTGATGCCCCAAGTGCCTTCCTGATAGGTGTTTTAACAGCCTTAGGCTTTCAATGATTTTTCTAAGGTAGTTTCTGTGTAATGCATTTTTGCAAGATAAAAAATAGGGGTGCCTGGGTGGCTCAGTCGGTTAAGCGTCCGATTTCGGCTCAGGTCGTGATCTCACAGTTTGTGGGTTCGAACCCTATGTCAGCTCTGTGCTGACAGCTCAGAGCCTGGAGCCTGCTTCAGATTCTGTGTCTCCGCCCCCCCCCACCCCCCAACCTCTCTCCTGCTTTCTCTCTCTAATACAAATAAACATTAATAAAATAAAAATAAAATATCAACTGGTATTACTGTGTTGGAATCATATCACTAAGTTGGAATTATATCAAGTCAGTTTAGATATTTTATTTTTTAAATAATAATGAGAACTTTGATAGGCAATTTCAGTATAGTTGTTTTTAATAAAAGTGGGAAAGTTCTTACTGAGTAATTTATTTGATGGACATTCTTCTTTAAATTAAAATTAAAATTAATTACTTTTTAAATTTACATCTAAGTTAGCATATAGTGCAATAATGATTTCAGGAGTAGAATCTAGTGGATGGACACATTATTTTAAAACATGAGATCCTTGAGGAGAAAATGATTAGTAAGTATCTTTGGTGGTACAAAGACAAAAAACTAAAAATTTAGGCAAAGGGAATGTTATTGGAATTTTAAGATCAGAGCTATGAAAATCCCTAACTTATAGCATTATAACAAGCAGAAGATTTTGAAAGACCTACATTAGCACAGCTGGTTAAATCAGTACCAGCATGGGGCTCCTGGGTGGCTCAGTGCCTCAGGTCATGATCTCGTGGCTCGTGAGTTCGAGCCCCTTGTGCTGACGGCTCAGAGCCTGGAGCCTGCTTCAGATTCTGTGTCTCCCTCTCTCTCTGCCCCTCCCCTGCTCACGCTCTGTCTCTCTCTCAAAAATGAATAAACATTAAAAATAAATAAAATAAATAAAAAATAAGTCCGTACCTGTGAAGGCCAACAGTCCGATTCTATATGCAGCCTGAGCCCTCTTCTCAATGGCTAGAGATTGATTCTTCAATACACGACCAAGCACCACGAATTTTTCTTTGTGAAAAATACTCTCAACCGAAGGGATATCTTCTTCCTTCTTCTTAACGAAAAAGCGCCTGACAGTGACATTCCAGAACTTCTGGAGGCGCTGATACAGCCCCACAAAATACTGGTAGATCTGAGCTGAAAATCGCACATAATAAGTATGTGCCTTAGACATCGTATGAAAAAGGCCAGTGGTGCTTCAGTTATACTTGTGTTGTGGCAGCTGAAGTCAACAGTCTAGAACTCTGGAATGCATCTCTTAGCGACACTGGAGAATGGAATACACAAATCAGGGGCAAGCAATGGAGGCCTAAATCCTTCAGGCCGCCATCGAAGGCCTTCTACAAGTTCAGTCAAATCAAGTTCACTTACACGCCTCTGGTGCACGGAATCTCAGCGTCGACCACACTGGCTTCTCCTCACCTACGCCAGGAGTGTTCCCGCCCTTGTCCCTTTGCTTACACAGGATCTACGGGAGCTTGCCTGTTCTACTTGGCTTATTCCAACACATCCTGAATTTCCTTTCATAGCATTGTGGCCATTCTGCTTATTTGTCACGGAATCAGAGTTTTCCTCCACATCATGGATTTCCTATGTTGGTCCTATTTTGCTGAGAAAATAGAAGCAGTCAGTGGAAGGCATGGTTGCCTTCATTGCGTCCACCTATCTCCATCCGTGCACATATACTCCAACTGTCCTGTTGTTATGGACCCCTCTCCATTCCTGCAGTACATTTCGTGACTTGTCCCACTCAAGGAGATTGCCCTACGGTTCTTCTCTTGCCTTAACTAAGTTTTCCATGTTGACTGGATCCTTTTCACATCGACAAGCAGGCTGTACTTGTTCTCATTAAAAAAATAAAACACTCTCTTGACCTCATAGAACCCCTCCGCCAAGTTATGGCTCTGTTCCTGTTTATACAAAAACGTTTCTTTTTTAAATGTTTATTTTTGAGAGAGAGACAGAGCGTGACCGGGGGAGGGACAGAGAGAGAGGGAGACACAGAATCTGAAGCAGGCTCCAGGCTCTGAGCCGTCAGCACAGAGCCTGACACAGGGCTCGAACCCATGAACTGTGAGATCATGACCTGAGCTGAAGTCAGATGCTCAACCGACTGAGCCACCCAGGCACCAAAAACTTTTCAAAGAGTTGCCATTCTTAGTGTTTCAAATATTCTTCTACTGTCTCTTGGATGTACTCCAAAGGTGGATTTCAAACCCATGAATCTTCAGGCTCACTGATGACCTTCATTCTGCTGAGTCCAATTCTCAGTCCTCAGCATTGGATACTTTTTCCTTGAAACACTCAATTCACCTAGCGAATAGCTTCTAAGATGTCTCGCTTGATTTTTCTCTTGCTTGCCACCCTCCATTTTCCTTTGCTGGTTCCTTTTCTATGACCTCCAAATATTGGGGTGTTCCAAGACTGTTCCGTCACACACACACAAATATATTTTAATATTTTATTTAAAAAATTTTTTTTAATTTATTTTGAGAGAAAGAGAAAGAGAGAGAGAATGAATAGGGTAGGGGCAGTGAGAGAGGGAGAGTGAATTCCAAGCAGGCTCCATGCTGTCAGCTCAGAGCCCGAGGTGGGGCTCAAACTCATGAACATGAGATCATGACCTGAGCCGAGATCAAGAGTCAGATGCTCAACCGACTGAGTCACCCAGGCGTCTCATATTTAACATTTTATTTTTTGAGTAATCTCTACACCCAACATGGGGCTTGAACTCACAGCCCTGAGATTAAGAGTCACACGCTCCCACCAACTGAGGCAGCCAGGCGCCCCCCTCCCCAGTTTTGTATTCTTAACTAGATTTCTCACCTGGACTCCAAACACATTCAGTCACCAACTTGACAGCCATCCATTTGGATGTCTACGTGGCTTCTCAAATATAACATGTCCAAATCAGAATTCGTGCATTTCCTCTCTAAGCCAGCTGCTGCTCAGGTTCTCTGTCTCGGAAGAGGGCACCCTGATCCTTCCAGCAGTTCAGGTTGAAATTTTTGGATTTATCCTTGGCTTTTATTGGTCTCGCATCTCATTTCCAACTTACCAACAAGGCTCTACTGTCAACGTAGAAATTTGGACGGCGGGTCCCTCTCCATTCCTACAGTACATTTCATGACTTGTCCCACTCAAGGAGACTGCCCTACAGTTCTTCTCTTGCCTTCTACAAAGTGTACCTGCCTGTACTCTTCAAATATATCAAGATACGGAAGCTCAAGGAAAGGGGGAGTGGCTACTGTTGTGAGAAGAGCCTTAAAGAGATGACAATTAAACATGTAATCCATGGTTGGAACCCTGTATCCATACGCATGTGCATGCGTGTATGTGAGCACCTGTGCATGTGGGTATGCGAGCACGTGCATATGCATGTGAAGGCTATAAAGGATTATTAGTGGGACAACTGGGAATCATGGACATGTGTTGGCCAGCACGGCAGCCACATGTAGCTTTGGAGCACGTGAATGTGACTAATCTGAATTGAGCTGTGCTGTAAGTATAAACTACATACTGGATTTCGAAGACTTAGTATGAGGGGGAAAAAAAGAATGAAGGTGCCTGGGTGGCTCAGTCAGTTAAGTGTCCAACTCTTGATTTTGGCTCAGGTCATGATGTCATAGGGGAAGGGGCAGAGAGAAAGGGAGAGAGAGAGAGAATCTCAAGCAGACTGCATCATCGGTGTGGAGCCCAGTGCAGGGGCTCAAACTCACCAACCGTGAGATCCTGACCTGAGCCGAAATCAAGAATTGGTTGCTTAACCAACGGAGTCACCTAGACCTCCCCCAAAATGTATTATTAAAGTTAACTTCCCCTATTATTTTTACTTTTTTATTTTTAAAATATGTCTATTAGAAAAAAAATTAAAAATAAATTGTGTCTGCTAGTAAAATCTAAAACCCCAAGCCTGGCTCCTCTTCAAGGCCATTGTACTTGTTACCTCTTCTTCCTGGGGATATTCACATGGTTCACCCCTCAGTTCCTCAGGTCGTTGCTCAAATGTAATTTTCTATTAGGCCTTCCTCGAACACCCTCTTCAAACTTGTGACCTTTGCCATGTCACTTCTCCCTTCCCCAACCTTGTGCAATTATGATCGCCTTCCCTGTCTTTCCCTCACCAGAATATGAGCCCTGTGAGGGCAGAGATTTTTTTTGTTGTTTTCTCTTCACTGCTGTATCTGCAGTGTCAAGAACGGTCCCCAGGGGGCGCCTGGGTGGCTCAGTCGGTTAAATGGCTGACTTCGGCTCAGGTCATGGTCTCACCATTCACGGGTTGAAGCCCCGCGTTGGGCTCTGTGCCGACAGCTCAGAGCCTGGACCCTGATTCAAATTCTGTGTCTCCCTCTCTCTCTACCCCTCCCCGAGTCGTGCTGTGTCTCTCTCTCTTTTTCTTGCTCAAAAATAAATAAACATTAAAACAATTAAAAAAAAAAAAGAACAGTCCCCAGTATATACCTTATTCATAGTAAGTATGCAAATAAACAAACAAAACTTGTTGAATAAATGAGAAGTTAGAGATCAGGTTTGTAGCAAACAATTTGTTTCTCACACAAAGCATACTTAGAATTTCTCAAAATCAAGAGAATATTAATAAGAGATATCTCCAGGAAAATTTCAGGGATAAAAATATTTCTCTTTCTATTTGACTAATTTGCTTTTCGAATACAGTAAGAAGGGCTGGTGTTTTCTGCCGAGTTGGGGTTTACGGTTTTCCTTTACCATCTTGTAAAGTTAAGGAAGACAATTCAGTTAAACAGTATAGCAATAAACCTTCCTTGTAGGAGAAAATTTTTCCTGCTGACTCAGTTAAAGGAATCACTGGTATTTAATAGCGTCAGTGGGTGAATACTCTCCCAGCTGAATGCTGGGGTCTCCTCTGTGATGACACGGGTGGGGTGTGGGCTGGGAACACACAAATGAAGGCTCTTAGCATCCTCAAGGGGCTGGTGGTCTCTGCTCACGGATACCACAATTCTGAAACACAGCTCTTTTTCTCCAATTAGCTTTACAACAAATTGAGAGGTAAACATTATTATCTTCATTTACAAGTGAAGGAATTTCGGGGCGCCTGGGTGGCGCAGTCGGTTAAGTGTCCAACTTCAG